GTAATAATAATAACAATAATATTTGACGATAATGATAATGAGAATAATAATGATAATGAAAAACTAATTCTAGTGGATGATGAAAATATCTGTTTACTGTGTCTACGGTGGTTTTGATTTTCTTTTAGTTACACCAATAATGGAAACGAACACAAGGCTTCTGAAAATGGAAATGGGCCACCTAAGTAGGGGTAACTAATGATAATGTTTTTACAAAGAAAAAGAAGAAAGAAAAAGAAGAAAAAAAACGAAAAATGAAGAATACTATGTAAAAATAATAGATAAATATATAAGGATAAATAAATAGATAAAAGTCTTGCACCGATTTTCAGGGAAGTAGAGGGTTGAGTACAGACCAACGAATTGAGATTATCTTACGGGATTCCACATTGCACAGTCATTTACGAAGAATTAAGTTTACGCGTACATAAACGTATGTTCGGGAACACACACACACACACACACACACACACACACACACACACACACACACACACGATGTATTTTCCCTTCTGCAAGAGTCAAAGACAATCTATCTATCTATCGATCTATCAATATACATAACTTCAACTCTGAATATCACACGTTAACTTCATGGAAATTGTTAGACCCGTGTTGCACTATGATAGAAAAGCACTTTATGCAACATGATAATAAGAGCTCTTATTCTTATCTTATTTTCATTTTTATTTTTATTTATGGTGTCTTGTGCTTCCCCTTTTTCCTTAATATAATATTAATTTAGGTGATATATCATACGTCTGAACTCCATTAATTGAGCTCAGTGACCCCACAGATTGCAAGCACAACCGTTCACAAAATTTTTATATCAAATTCACGTAGTATATGTGTGCTGTAGGCCTAAATTGGTTACATTATTTGACATACATCTGACTAGACTGACATGAGGATCATTACAAAAAGCTAAGGTAGTTTTTGGATCTGTGCGTGAGAACTGAGTGCACCCAGTAGCTAGCTTTGTCCAAGTGGAACGCGGCTATATAAATATCTCTTATTCTTATTCTTATTCTTATCTTACTCTTAGGAGTCACACCTTTCGCGAGGAGGGAGGTCTGCCCCCTCCTGAGGACCTTTATCCTTAAGGGGCCGACGCGCTCGAGGCCGAAGTTCGTCAGTTGTGATCGGATTTTCGTGATTTTTTATTTTACATACATATAAAGTGATAAACACCACCATGTTTCATATCATTTGGAGAATATATTATGAAGTTATTTAAGAAAAGTTTTTGAACAATCACAAAATCTTTAAAATCACACTTATCCATTGAACAAATATTGGAAAAAATACCAGCTATACTCTGTAGCAATACCTAAATCTTGCAAACACCAGAAATTATAATTTTCTTTTAGTTTAGTGGGAATTTATTTTTTTTCTAAATGTTCAGTCTTATGAACATAGATATATATATATATAGACTTCTATTACCTAAAATAAAAATCGGCTTTAACAAAAACATCACAAATTTATTCAGCTTTCAAATGATCCAAACCCCTTTAGAATTGACCAAGTAGTTATGGATGAATTTAAAAATGTTGACAAAAGTGTAGTTTTGAGACATTGGGCTCTGAAGTTTAGGATACTTTTCCCTCGATAAAAAAAAAAAAAAAAAAAATGAAAGAAAAAATAATTATTATTTAGAATTCTTATCTCTGCTTCAATCTTGCTGCATTCTATGCCATTCACATGGTATTCTGAAGTGTAGCCGGTACATGGTTCCCCTCTTTTGCAAAGTACTAATGGTAATAACTGCACATGAATGTAGAAGGACCGCATGTCACCACAGGCTTTGCAGTGTCTAACCTGACCACATGAGGTATCTAGATGTATAAACAACTGCTGCAGCTGTGATTAAGGGATCCGTTCCAGGAAATGACCACCTTTCCCTACTCATTACATCATAAAAAAATATCGGTTAGAGATAACTGATTGATTTCTATGTATAAATATAGAGTATAGATTGCGCTTCGTGTCATAAAATTTACCTCGCTCCCATAGGAGGAACCCCCAAAAAAGCATTTTTTTTCTCGCCTTTGGTAACATTTGGTAACTANACATGAGGTATCTAGATGTATAACAATCTGCTGTAGCTGTGATTAAGGTCCGTTCCAGGAAATGCACCACCTTTCCCTACTCATACATATAAAAAAATATATCGTGTTAAGAAGATAACTGATTGATTCTTATTGCTGTATAGAGTATTAGAATTGGCCGCTCCGTTATATATAATTTTAAACCTCGCTCCTCAAATAGTGAAAAGGGGGGGTACTCCCAAAAAGGCTGATTTTTTTTTCATTCGTCTTCGGTACTTGTAAATACCAATTTTTAATTCCCCGCCCCCTTTTTTTTTTGCTTGACAATAGAATACATTTTTGGTTTGCTTTTTAGCATTTAAAAATCTATATTTTTGATTTAGGCATAAAATTAAAAATCGGCCATTACACGGCTTAGAGTACTCTGAGGCTCTAGTGAAGTAAAAACTCATTTGAATCGCACGGGTGGAAAATTACGGAGTTAGGGATGTACCGAACGTTATGGTGAACAAAGAACGGAGATTTATATTATATTGCACTTCGCCAAAAGTTCCGTTATCTCTGTTTTTTTTTTTTTAATTGATCTAATATTATATATATATATATATATATATATATATTATATATATATATATATATAATATATATATATAAATTTATATTTAAAATTTAAAAAATATTAAATATATTATATAAACTTCTTTAGTGTACTATGCGATGCAATGTTTACCATGTCAATAGGAATGTTCATTTTCAATATTTTTGTTTAGTTTGTTTGTTTTTTTGTAGATATTTTCGTTGAAAAAGTTAATAAATGCATTTTACCAAGAGAACTAATCTGAACCAATAAACCGTTTTATAAAATTTATTTATTTGTTCAATTTGAAGAAATGGGAAACTGGGATGGCAACATTAGCACATAATCCTAATTATAAAGTCTAACATGAATACAACATGGGGTTCAATTTTGAGAATTTTATAAGCATTGAATTTAGTAACATTGGAATTCGAGAACTTATCGGGAGTCGTTGAGAATTTTCCCATGCTTCACAAGGGGGGGGGGGGGTATTGGTCACGGTGTTTAGATTGTCGAGGAGGCATCATATGTACTGAGCGATGCACATAATAATAGACGGGGGACGAAGCAATAAGAGAGGGATTAAGGAGAGAGGAAGGGATGGGAAGAAGAAGATGAATTGAGGGAACGAGGGAAGGAAGAAAGGATGAGGAATGAAAGAGGGGGATGGGAATGCGGGAATGAGAGGGGTTGGGAGAGCATAAGACTAGGACTGGGAAAAATAGGGTGGCTGGCAAGAGGGGAAGAGAAAGGAGGGAGAGACGGAGAGAGGAAAGGGATGGGGGGACGGATGACAAACTGAGAAGTAATATATAATATATATTAAATATATATATTATAAATATATATATATGTGTGTGTGTGTGTGTGTGTGTGTGTGTGTGTGTTGTGTGTTATTGTGTGTGGTGTGGTGTGTATGTATGTTTGTATACATAAATAGAGAGAGGAGAGAAAATACAGAAGATGAAAACAAACTATAGATAGATTCTTTTTCCTTCAAATTTTCTTGAGTATTTTTGAATATTCGTCGCAACTCCCCCTTAGGCCGTACTTTTAAAACCTTCGGCCAGTGTGGCGTTTCGCCAGCGAACCTCTGAGTGGGGAGGCCTTACTTTTAAACTAACGTTGCGCCCAGGCGCCTAACATCTTGCCATTCCGCGCTAAATGTAGCGGGCAAATTTGTTTACATCTAGAGTAGATATATATTTATTATTAACCTGAGAGAGACGAAAAGTTTCGGGCAATAGTCCATTAATACTATAACAAAGCGAGTTAAAATTATTAACTTTATGCTATAACAAGGAAGGGGTTGAAAATATCTTTATACTATAACAAAATTTAAATTTATACTATATGCTATACTACACTCTATACACAACAAGGTTAATTTATGCGGCCCGTACTTTAAAAACTTGTTTTTCTCGCTTTTTTTTTTTTCATTCGCCGAAGCGCTAAGATTTTAGCAGGAATCCAAGATGTTAGCGCCTGGCGATCCTTTTCGTTCGCCGGCTTGGGAGAGCACTGCCTTGGTTTAAAAGTAAGGGGCCGACTTTAAAAACTTTCGCCAGTGCTGGCGTTCGCCTGCGAACATCTGAGTGAAGGGAGGCTTACTCTTTAACCAAACGTTCGCCAGGCGCTAAATTTTGCATTTCCGCTAAATCTGCGCAAATTTGTTTACATCTGAGTGCCACATAACATAACTAACTTAATTATTACCTCGAAGAAGACAAAATGTCCGCAATAGTCTCACTTTATAGCTGATCTAACAAAGGATGTTAAAATTTAACTTTATGCTATAACAAGTGAAAAATTTTATACATATACAAAATTAACTTTATTTTTATGATCTAATGCACTTTATACTGATAACAACGTTTAACTTTATGCCCGTACTTTTAAAACCTTTTGCTTTTCTCGCGTTTTTTTTTATTCGCCGAAGCGCTAGATTTAAAGCAGGAATCCAAGATGTTTTAGCGCCTGGGATCCCTTTCATTCGCCAGCCTGGCTGAAACACCTGCCTTAAGTTTAAAAGTAAGGCCTCCTCACTCAGATGTTTGCCTGGCGAAGCTTCGCCAGGCGAACGCCAGCATTGCGAAAGGTTTTAAAAAGTATTATACTTATACTATAATCAACCTATACTTTTATACCAAAAATAACTTTATAACTTAGAGTTTAAAAATTACTATTTTACTATTCCTAACTGATGTAAGATATATAGACGTGTGGCTAAAGGGTATCATTAAAGAAGCCTCTTTGGGCGTGGAGCACTACAGGGCTCTGTTTCTATAGGCAAAAGTAAACATGCTGCCATAAAAAGACACTCTGGGTAACATTTGTTGAATAGAACATTATCCTTACAATCAAAATAACAACAACCTAACTTCTAAATAAGTCATCTCGAGGAGAGTGGGGGGTAGTGGTAGGGGGTAGGATCAGCTGATTCTTGAGCTCTCGACTGGAACATCGAAGGTCTTGAAAAAATACGTATATACGTTATTAAACATCATACAAATCTGATTTTAGACATATTATAGTGACATGATGATATAATCCTTCATACACAAATATGTTCTAATTTATAATTTGGAAAGCAAGAAAATGGTATTCAACACGCTCTCTTCCAGGCTGTTCCATATGATCTTTCGGCACAGCCTGGCGAACGTTCGCCAGGCAGATTTTAAAAGTACGAAATTCCGGATCCCCGGGAAACCCTCGCCACACTGGGAGGCTTTTAGGTAACGGGCTTAGTGTTTGATTTTTATTTGCTGTGCTTGTGAGGTACTAACCTTTTTCAGGGCGGAGGTACTAATAGGGTGTTTGGCACGGGTACCCCACCGAACAAAATGTGTGTCATTGGTTGTTTTTGGTGCATAGGCATGTAGTCAACATTCTGCAATTAGTTTCATTTGGTACGTGCTTGAGCCACCCTATCCCATTTTCATGAAGCCCCTAATTTTGTCTGTCTGACCACGCCCCCCCCCCCCCATCCAAAATGTCTGGCAGATGCATGGTATGTGTTTGGGGACAGGTATCATCAAATTTGGGGTAATTTCAAATGGTACGCTTTTGGAGTAACCTAGCTGATTTTTTGGGTGCCATTCATGTGGCTCTCCTGGCCATCCGCAGCAGCAATGCCACGCCAGACGCCCACATCCTGGAAACCTAAGTCATTAGGAATATTAGTATATGCAAGAAAATTGATATGCTTTTCAGTCGGTCTGACACCCACCCCCTGGGCTCCTGGTCTATAAAGCTAAAAAGATTAAGCATCCTCATTTAGTAGGCCCACATTGGCTTTCGCATCTATATAATAAAATGTATTAGTTATCCCTCTCAAACCGTTTTCTTCGATAACTGTCAACATTAACAGATTACAAAGGAGAACAAGTGTAGAGTTGGTGATTAGCCAGCCATTTGCACCCATTAACTTTACTAAGAAGTGCATAAAATCATGCAGACGCCTGGGTGTGGTGGGATATTTGCGAATTTATGGTACGTAAGACCTACGGTAACGTCAAAACATATTAATTCTTATCGGGAACGCACGATACAAATGCGATAGCTTTTTGAACTCTAGACGAAGAGTGCGCACACAAACGAACTCAATATTCCACATATATATATTTTTTTAATTTCAGAGCGGGTATTACTATACTCACATATGAAATAATCTGTACTCGTTTATACATCCGAAGTTCAAAATCCGACATTTTAGGTAAAAATTCGTATTGAATTGGTCTTAACAACGGTAACTATCAATTTCAAATCAAATCAAATTTACCCATGCTGTGATGTACCGACCGTTGAGCGAAATGTAACGGAAATATTCCAATCCTTACTTGTAAGGCTATTTTCAAACATTAGTGCTTCGTACGTGATAAACGTACAGATTACTTCGTAAACTAAAACATATTACCAGGGAGTCTCGATCGAAACATATTTCGCATTTAAGTCACAGAACTTACTTTTGTTTAGATATATTACATAAAATATTTCGTCATAAATCATGGTGATATAATTTTTCCCTGATATTGGTATAAAAGTGTTTCTTGAACATTCATATCTATGCGCAATGTCATAATCAAATGCCGTGTGCACGATTGCAGCAAACAGAAGTCCACATAGGTGTACCTAGGTCCTCATTAGTGACGTACCTCCCCAGGTGTTCAGCGGGTCTCGCGTCGACTGCAAGACAACGAGCCAAAGCAGGTGTTTAATACTCGTTTGGTAGATTCCTCATCCATGTACCTATACTATACGCTAGCCAACTCAATTTGACCCCTGCCCCCCCCCCCCCTCTTGCCTAGGACGGTCCCCTAAGAAGTATTTCTGATCACATTATGTTTATTAAATACTAAAATAACATCTACAATTAGTAGTTTTCCCTTACTGTGTTATATGGGCCTACGCCTGCAATATGGTGTCGTGGAGGTAGGAGGTGGCCTTTATCTCTGATTTTCTGGTGGTTTTGTCTCCCAAACCCCCTGTCTTGACGATCAGCTGATGGGTAAATAGAGTTGCCAGCTAGCTACCAGAGAATGCCAAAATAAACCGAAAAAAAAATCCGAAAAAAACATTTGTCGAGTATATTTGCACGGACGCGACAGAGTAAACATCGGAGCGGGAGGCGGGGGGGGGGGGGGCGAGGGGGGTCAGCGATTTAGTTATAACTCTTTTACTTTTACATATTTAGCAAAAATATTACGTCATGGGATTGCCAAAGCCCACAAGATTACAGATTTTCTTCTTCAAATTTTCGAGTATTTCTTAGAATTTTCGTCGAGAGAGAGAGAGAGAGAGAGAGAGAGAGAGAGAGAGAGAGAGAGAGAGAGAGAGAGAGAGAGAGAGAGAGAGAGAGAGAGAGAGAGAGAGAGAATGAAGAATGAAAAAAGAAAAAGAGAGAGGGAGAAAGAGAGAGAGAGAAGAGAGAGAGAAGAGAGAGAGAGAGAGAGAGGAGAGAGAGAGAGAGAGAGAGAGAGAGAGATGAGAGAATGCGAGAATGCGAGAATGAAAGAAAGAAAGAGAGAGGGAGAGAGAGAGGGAGGGAGGGAGGGAGGGAAGGACGGAGGGAAGGACGGAAGGAAGGAGGGAGGAAAGGAGGGAGGAGGGAAGGAGGGAAGGAGGGAAGGAGGGAAAGGAGGGAGGAGAGAGAGAGAGAGAGAAGAGAGAGAGAGAGAGAGAGAGAGAGAGAGAGAGAGAGAGAAGAGAGAGAGAGAATGAGAGAGAGAGAGAGAGAGAGAGAGAGAGAGAGAGAGAGAGAGAGAGAGAGAGAGAGAGAGAGAGACAGACAGACATACAGAAAGATAACGAGAGAAAGTAGAAACCTCACACCCGAAACAGGAAGCAAAAACGAAACGAAAGCAAAGACACACATACAAAAAAAGAACAGAACAAGGCAACAGAAAACGAGAACGATTTCCCCCGCCGTAAGATGGCTGCCACCACCATCAGGACCAAGATTAACGAC